ATTCTGAATACAAATTCTGATCCGGGCATTTCACCTGCTTGAAACGTTTCATCTTCTCGAATCATCCGAGGCGTAATTGCTGGCGTTTAGTGTTGTTTTTTAAATATAATTTAGGTTGAAATATGAATTTATCTTGACATTATTCTTTCGGTTACTTTGCCGCATTGATTACATCTTACCTGATGATTGCGGCTCATTGATGTCCTTATCAAGGCTGTTTTGGGTTATATATACGTTTTCCCTGGCAAATCAACGTGATAAATTTCAACGAAAAAAACCTGTTTAAGAGACAAACAAACATCAATTAATTAAATGGAACATAATACTTAGATTAATATTGGAATTTTCTAGTCTTTTACGACATCATGCAAGCTCTGCTAAAATTCTTGTCATTGCCAACATATGCATTGTCATAATTTGTCAAAATTTATTAACATTTTCCCCTTTCCGAATCGGTCATATATGTAAGTAGCGAAGGTTTTGTTCGTATTTTTTTTTTGCTGGGTTCTTAGAATCTAAAAATATTTGCCATGCTCATCATTTTTCGCATCAATCCAGTTCCGGAAGATGAGATGAAATTAGATGGTAATTTACGTCTTCAGCTTGAAGCTTACACCTCATATTACCATCATTATGTTATAGTGTACGATTATTGTAGTGAAGGAAATGGAGGCAATAAAATACGAAGAAATGCTCCAAGACAGCGAACAAACAAACGAGTATTGAGATTACGAGCAATCACCGGCAGACGAGATTATTAGACAGATTATTTTTACAACGCGTGTACAGCAATAAAAACAAGCACAAGATTTCATTTGTTAGGTTTTAGGATTCATGAATTGATGAATTGGGATCAATGGTCTTACAATACACATAGTAATTCAATTGTTTTTTGTATTCAGTAAAATAATAATAAATAAAATGATAAAATATACGTTCGATGCATGTAATAATACATTTATGCATGTAATATGGATGCGCGAACATTACTCATCAATCCATGCAGCCTCCCAATTTTCAGGCCTTGGGCGTGCAAACTTGTTAAACGAAAGTTCAATTGGAAAATTTGTTTGTTATCGGAGGAAGCTTCCATATAGTTTGTACATTTAAATTGAAATAAGAAACATCGGAAAAGATAAATATCATTTCATTATGCGAGAACCTAATGCATTTCGCAAGTGTATTACCTGCCAAGAACAAAGCACTACAATGGAGAAAGTTGCCATAGCTAAACTGCACCTATATACGGTCAAATATTAAGCTCCAGAGGTTAATTTTTTTGTCCCGACACCAGGTTGACCTGACGCGCCTGATTTGCGTGAAGAGACTCGAACATCCCGTGACAAAGAGCGCGCGTGTGTTTCACTGGGCACAAAACTGGGCAAAAAATTCTGTTTATAAATTGAAGATATTTTAACTCGCTTGTGAGGCCGAATTCCCTGAAGATTGAGCTTTTAGCTACGCTTGACTGGGTGGAATGAGCACAGCTTTCTGGTTGGATTATTGAAAATTACTCAAAGCAATGGATTTGATTTTAAGTTGGAGTGAGAAAATAATTTAAAAATTTTAGTAAATGTTCAAAGCACGTTCATTAATATGCTTCAAACCCTTTTCTCAAACCATGTAATTATAAGTAATTACGATATTAACGATTAAGAACTTCTCGGAGGTCAATGAGAGGATATAGCTGCATTTTCTACAGTTTAGTTCTGAATGTGATCGCTATTTCAACATTTTCTGCCCCAAAGGATGTTCATAGTTCAGCATGATTATCTTTTTACTACCTCACTAACAGATCTCATGAGAGCAACTTGGATATTTCCAAGCTGGTACATCGATTTGTTACCAGCGGAACTTCGTAAAGTCTCAAGTGTATGCCGAAGACATGCGCTCAACTTACACAATTTGTTCGTCTCTTGGACGATATTCTTTGTACGCTTGAGCCTATAGCTTAGAATTATTTGTGGCAAGCAGCGCAGGTAGCGGCCTTTGTTTTACAATCAGCCTACAAACTTTCAGGGGCAAGATGTGGACTCTTACGCTTCGTAAACAAACTACACGTGTTCTGTATGATGTGTGATGTATAATGTGTAATGTGTGATGCGAGATAAGAGGTGTGTGATGTGAGATAATAGATGTGCGATGTGAGATGTGTGATGTGAGATGATAGATGTGTGATGTGAGATATGTGACGTGTGGTATCATATGAGTGATGTGTGATGTATCACGTGAAATAGGAGATTACGAGACAAGACCGAGCTAATATTGCTGACCTGCCCTGCCCTTTAATCGTGAAATTCTAATCCCATCACAGAATTAGCCTTAACCAGAGTAACCATTAGCAAAAAACACTTTGAAACAAATTTGTTTAAAGTAAAAATGGCTGTAAATTATTGTACAATTCCCGAGTTGCGGTGGCATAAGCGAGCTGCACTTGATGGCATGACTGTCGCCCGCCTCGCTGACGCTGAACTAACTTGCGTGAAGCTGAAATAAGCGACGACAGGCTGAGCTGAATGCATTCATTTCATGCATTCATTCATCATTCATGAGCCTCGCTGACGCTGAACTAACTTGCGTGAAGCTGAAATAAGCGACGACAGGCTGAGCTGAATGCATTCATTTCATGCATTCATTCATCATTCATGAGCCTCGCTGACGCTGAACTAACTTGCGTGAAGCTGAAATAAGCGACGGCAGTCTGAGCTGAATGCATTCATTCATCATTCATGTGCGAGGCTGCGTACCATTCATTTGAAAATAACCAGTCCATGTTAATTTAGCTCATCAGAATAGATTACGGTGTATGTACTATCTATTAAAAATACATTCTCTTTTCTTTGTTTGTTCGAAAATTATTAGCGATTTTTGATGAGAGAGAAAGAGAAATAATTGAAAACATGAATTTAATTTCAAAATATTGTCCCGGTCATTGAAAATATATTTTTAATGACAAGTTTTCATCAATAACTAAATTATTTGTAATATTCTGATCAACAGGCTTATAAGGAGCCACGTTATATCATCTCATAAATAAAACATTGATCTATAGGATCTGAGGGTTACTGCGCGCGATCAGTGTAGGATCTGAGGGAAGCTACGCACGATCAGTGTAGGATCTGAGGGAAGCTGCGCAGAATCAGTGTAGGATCTGAGGGTCACTGTGCACGATCAGTGTAGGACCTGAGGGAAGCTACGCACGATCAGTGTAAGATCTGAGGTAAGCCGCGCACGATCAGTGTAGGATCTGAGGGTCGCTGTGAACGATCAGTGTAGGATCAGAGGTAAGCCGCGCACGATCAGTGTAGGATCTGAGGGAAGCTACGCACGATCAGTGTAGAATCTGAGGGAAGCTACGCACGATCAGTGTATGATCTGAGGGAAGCTACGCACTGTCAGGATGTCCTCGGCAGCGCTGTTTTCCACGAAGAGATCTCACCGACGCCTGCCGTGCGCGCTGGTGCAATATGGCATGGCGCTATCCTTGGTATCCTCAATTGGTATTTGTTTTGGACGTGGCAGTCCCAGGCCACGATGGATCGCCGCCTCTGATTCTCGCTCATCCGCCCTCATTTGGGCCAGCTGGCGTTCCATTCATCGCAATCAACATGCCCCTCCAGGCAAATGACGGCGTAGCAACGTTGGTAATTTGTTGATTACGTTGAAATAACGTTCAATCAAATCAACGTTTTCCCAACTATTACCTATAAATGACCTGGTGGGCATGATTGTAGTATCGCGCATATAATCTGTCGAGATGCACGGACTGCAAAATTTTTCGATTTTACCTCCCCATCAAACCCCCTTTTTTGCAAATAAAATCCAAACTATAACGAAATTAGAAAAACGTAACCACCGATTTGTAGATCTTTTTTTTTGCGAGTCGAATGGTATATGTCTCATTGATGTAGCTTCAAAACTGTAGGAGGAGATAGGTTTGGCGTGAGAGAGGTTTTCATCTTTTTAAATTGGTCAGTAGAGGCGGAAAACCGTGGCGCGCTATGTAAAGGCATGTAACGTAGCTTAGATACCGAAAGTAAGCGTTAGCTCACTTCAAAGTCAGTCAGCAGTGCAGAGGACAACTTTATCAACACCCCTCCGCATGATATCTGTCGGGTAAATGAGCTGTAGGTCCAGCGACAGCACATTTATAGAGCTTAGCCGTAATTATCTCCATAGGATTTTGTGAAGGGACCCCATCACCCTCCCCCCTTTCGGGATCTGTCGTGAACGCATAAATCAACGTACAGAGATGGTTCTAGCACCGTTAATAATAAATAAATAATAAAAGCAAAATATTTCGACTTTTACCCCAGACGCTCCCCATAAGTTCGGTTTCTGTGTCAATGTATAGGTTCGGTAAAACAGAAGTTGAAACAGCAGCTTATGATGGATTTGTAGATTTCGCGGATTCATTAATTCGTCATCAGATTTGGTCCGTGCGTCTTCTAGCACAGCGAATATAGGACGACTCTGCTCGTCGTACTATCTCGTGGAGATGGCGTCCAATCCTGTTTATATCAGTCCAATTAATGTGCCGAGTTTTTGAAGAAAATGATTATTTTCTTCGTTCTAGTGTGCCCCAATTTACATAGTGTGCCGAATTTGGTGAGTAGTAATATGTAATGATTATTATCTTCGTTACAGTACTATATAGTTGGGGAATTACACCAGAATGATCGTAAGAGAAAGACTCGGACGCGATCGACTAGAGATGCTAACTTGCGTTTGATCAATTTAGCCTTCCAATATCGGCTGCAGTTATACGTGAGTTAGCTTGAAAATTGTTCTCTATTTTCATTTAATAAGAATAGTACCTAAATTAAAGGTTACATAATACACAGAGGAATAGCATTAAGTGTTACTCAAAACCAGGTGCAATTTCACGAAAAAAAAATCAGTGCTGAATCAAGTGTTGCATCAAGAAACCTTTGGACATCACACGAGTCTTGATGATTACAAAAATATCAAATTTCAATTCAAATAACTAAAACTTTGATGCAAACAGTGCATCATTAATGTATCTGTTAAAATCTACTATGACACGCCTGTGCTGAACAATTATCTACCTGACATCCATCACTCCTGAAAGTGACAGAAATAGGAAGGAACAAGAGCGTTGAAAAAAAAACTGTTGAAGAATAAATGTAAAATAACAAGACATCAAGATGTCTTGGCTACCAGTTTTTGTCAAGATGTAAAGACATTCGTTCTTTCATTTCTCCTCACCCAAGTGGCCTAATTTCACTAAGTGAAGTAATTAACGTGATAATTTTGTCATTTCATATTCACATTTACATTGTCTATTTCAAATAATATCGAATGTTCGAAAAATAGTTACAATTCATGGAGAAATCATCAGCTGCAATTGGCAGCTTCAACTCTCGAAAGTCGACCAACTCGTTTGTTTTTAGATTGCATATGAACTTATGCATAGCGAAACGAGTAAGAAATTTCAATGCATTTACATGTGAGCCTCACAACTAATTGGGATCTAGTCAATTTCAGATGAAGGGAAGGGCTGAAACTGATTGGTTTTCCTACATTTTCCATAAAAGATGAGAAAGGAAGCTAGGCAATAGTTTTCGTCGGTCACATAACTTGAAATTTTCAAGAAACATACGCGGAAAGATTTCGTTGCATTTAAGAAAGCAGAGTAACTCTGAACAAATGGACAAGGGTGAGTTCCCGTTCATAACTTTGCGTCTTGCCAAGCATTCTTTTATGCAACTCAAGACTTACAGCGCGATTATGTGCAGCCAATTTCATCTAAGTTCACAGAATTGTCACTGTATTGCATTGGAAAATCCTGCGTTAATGGAAGTGATACCGTTCTTAGAAACTTGCACCTTCGCTGATGAAAGTACAACAGTACGGAAACTTGGTGAAACAATGGCTTTATGGGAACGGGGAATTGCTTGACTTTAACGGTGGATTGATTAAGACAATGGTCTTACAAATATGCAAGGGGCTTTTAATAAATGATTGCATGCTACCATACAAACAACTCATGTTTCTAATCTTCGAACTCCTCTCAGCCTGAATTGGACGTCGCCTATGCGTTTGATGATGAAATTAGATCGCGTAGCTATCTGATTTCACCTTCCATGTTCTGATCATCCTATTAGGTTAGGCTACTTCAATGAGGAAATCGAACCCCATTTTCTTTCTGTCGTTGGTCGACGAGCCTTTCAGGATGACGGTAAGTTCTCCCGTGAACGAAACATCCTGCACAGGAAAAACATTACATACTTGATTAGAATAATAACTGTGCAGTGCTGATGTTCACAATTCTCATCTGAACCTTAATGTACCTACAGAAACTAGTACGCATTGTAGCAACACGTCGTGTCAGTATATATTTAACACTGTTGGACGTAGACCATAAAACCTTATATTCTGTTCGCGACCTGTCATTCCACTGCCAGCGCTGCACTGTCGGATTACTGGTACAATGTCTACCTCGATCCTGTCTCTCTGGAGCACCTCTCTGGAGCACCTCTCACAAGCACCTCTCGCAAGCACCTCTCACAAGCCTCTCTCAAGCACCTCTCACATGCCCTCTCTGAAGCTAAAGTGTGAGTAACGGGATATAATTGAAGTTTAGGTCATCAGCATTTTTTGAATAGAAACAACAAAACAACTGTTTATACACGTCATCATGTATTGTTGAGTATAGGAATAATAATCTAGAAACAGTGCATCACTTGGAATCACGGACTCCACCAACAGACACAATGCATCACTTGGAGTCAATGGAGTCACGGACTCCACCAACAGACACAATGCATCACTTGGAGTCACGGACTCCACCAACAGATACGACTTTACTCTCAGCTCTCACTGGTAGAGGGTTGGCCGTGCAGTAGTTAGTGTTAGCGCCGTTCCCCAGGCCGTCCGTGTCAAACTCAAGGCTGTAGCCGTCGCATCCGTCGGTACCCAAGAAGCCCTTGAAGGATTTGGAGGAACTAATCTTGAGTTTTGTTGTGCTACTCGTTGGGTAAGTTAATTTCAGAGAGCAGGCGTTGACAGGCGTGTTGGGGAAGTAGAGACACCCGAATCCAGAATGAGACAGCAGGTACATCCCGCCCTCGCTGAGGTCCGGAAGAGAAATCGTCTGACTGCAGTTCTTGACTGAAAGGTTAAATTTAGCTTATTATTAGGAGGTATCAACTAATATGACAGCCAATTTGTTATTTCTTAGGTTAATACCACAGAAATCGCGCATGACTGTTGCTTGAGCCGTGACAGAGGACGGACGTGACGTGTCGTACCGGTCCTGATATGACCTTTTTCTATTGCCGGTAGGTGGCAGTACACGCATCTTGTACTAAGTGTTTCAGTGAAAAGTCTGAAATTTAGTGTGAAGTCAGTAATGAGAGTGTGAATAGAGAACAAAGCGGATATTAATAGTCATTTTACCGAATTTCGCCTTTCCCGTTAAGTGTTTAGATTTCCCTATAACGGCCCAATTTGTAAATAAATATCACAAATTTTTACCAGTAAATTAGTTCTGTGATCTCGTAAATGAGAGAGTAAAAGAACATATCAGAGAACAGTAAAAAGTACCTGTAAAAATGGTAACAAAAGCTTGTACAAGCCAACCATCTGGAGAATGCCTTGAATGCAAAAAACTAAATTACGGTAAATTTGCGTTGCGATGTAATTCATGCAGTCTGTTCTGTCACTTTGAATGCTCTCTACTGCCATTATACCAACTTGCTAGATACGTAAAGACGAGGGTGCCATTCATCTGCAGAAAACGTGTAATGAATGAGAAGTGGTACAAGGAATGTGCCGAAGTTGTGCGAGATGTCGCCGAGAGTGAAGGAATTCAAACTAGGCCTAACGCGATCGCTTCCCCCGCCCAACGTGCCCGTGCGTTGCTGCCCTCTATTCCTTCTACCCCCGCCTGCCCCAACGCTGACCGAAATCATACCCCGCCTCCCTTACCCTTTACTCGCACCCCACCCCTTGACCGCAGCCCAGAAAAGGATGGGGAAGGGGTAACCCTTCCTCTCTCCCACACCACACACACTCCCGCAGTCCAATTAAATTTAAATGCCTCGGCTGCTACTCCGCCTGGTCACACAAACATCTGCTGGAGGTATCTTCAGGGAAATTGCGATCAGGAGAATAAAGGATCGAGCTGCAAGTATCCTCACCCTAAGATTTGTCACAAATTTTCAACATTTGGAAGCAAAAACCAAAGGGGATGCAAAAATGGGAAATACTGCCTGTTCTACCATCCGTTATTGTGCTGGAATACTATAAAAAATTTAACTCAGTTCTCATAGGCAGTGAGTGACAGAGAGCGCATTTTCTCGTCAATGAAAACTTGAGGTCTCGGACGGACGGACAGACGGACGGACAGACAGACAGACAGACGGACATGGCGAGCACAATAGTGCATTTTTTCCATAAATGAGAAAATGCGCTAAAAATATAGCTTGCAAACGAGATAACTGTCGCTTTAATCACCTTAGACTCAGCCCGCAGGCGGGAAGAGATACCAAATGGAGACGGGATTTTGATACTTCATCCCTGGAACACCAGATAGACTCTACTGCCAAACTCAAAATTTCAGAAAAAAATGCATTTGTTAAAAAACTTCTTTCTGGGAAGGGCGAATCTATCGTAATCAGAGATACCACAGGGCTGTCCCAAAAATTACCCCACCGGAGGGTACGCACACAGTGAAAGCAGGTTTGCCCGCGCGGGCAACCTGCTCCAACCTGCCACAAGAATGAACATAGGTTAATAATGTAAGTGTTCACAGTGAAAACCTGTACGGATAGGCTTCTGCCGACAACCTGCCTATACCTATTTACCGGAATGTACTGCACATTCTTATCTGCTCAACCTGCTTGGCATATGGTCATTTTTGAATTAGTTGTACCTTTAAAACCTCAATTTTCTTTGTTTCTTATGAATTATTTCGTACCTCAGATGAGCCTATTGTGAAAACATGAATACACTAATAAAATACGCTAATAAAAAATACACCAATATAATACGCTAATAAAGTACACTAATAAAATTCACCAACAAAATATACTAGTAAAATACCATAATAAAATATACTAATATGATACACATATAAAGTACACAAATTAAGTTCACTAATAGAGTGCAATAATAAAATACACTGTTAATGCACTTCCTCACCCAGAGCACTGATTAGGTCGCAGCTGGTTTCCTGCTTCCTCTGTGAACACCCTCTCGCGCTTGTTTCAGGCGCCAGCCTCAGCAGGTAACCAGCACGCTGGCAACATGCTTTCACTGTGTACGTACCCGGACACTACATCGTACCGGAGTTGAGAACAACACAGAAAACTCGATATCAGGTGCATCAATTTTTTAGACCTGCAGAGGCAAGTAGATCAGATTCAGCAACAATGCAACAACTATTGAAATTGCGCGAACAACAGCAGAAATCCAGAAATCACAGCAACAAATGCAAGAGCTGCTGAGCCAGATACCCCTGGCAGTGCGGTGTTGCAGCAACTAAGAATACAAGGAAAGGAAGAGTCTGGCATCATGATAGCTAACATAGAGGGGCCCTTCCCAAGAAGATAACGTCACAAGATCGGCGTACTTGAAGAAATTGCTGAGACAGAAGGAATAATCATGCTTGCCTTAACCGAGTCACATCTAAGAGAGGATATCCAAGATGGAGAAATTGAAATGAAAGGCTTTCAACATTACCGATCAGACCGAAAAGAAGGGAGGAAAAAAAGGAGGCGTTATAGTCTATACCTCAGAAACTCAATCGCGGCAAAACAGTTCCCCTGCCTTTAGGCTCCAATGGATATGCGAAACCTGTTATACTATACCTCTCTCATCTCCAACTGTGCATAGCTATCGTATACCGACCACCTGACTGCCCGCCGGAAAAATTTAACGAAACTCTTGAGAGAATAGAAAGAGAAGTGGCCAACTTGGGTGAACCTTCTCCAAACATTGTGGTTGCAGGAGATTTCAACCTACCACGCATACGATGGCCACACTTGGACTGTGTAGTACGGCGCAGAGATCAGGACAGAACCCAGGCAACACAACTACTTCGATTCGCTAGAGAGCACTTGCTAAGTCAGCAGGTGCTGGTACCTACAAGAGAACACAATATCCTAGATCTATTCTTTACCAGCAATGAAGAATTGGTTGCTGATATTCGGGTTGAGGAGACCTCACTGTCAAACCATCGATTAGTAGTGGTCGAAACAACAATTGGGATTAGAAACCAGCCCAGACATACATCTCGCGAGGGCCTGGATGGACTAAATTTTCATCATCGAAGAACAGACTGGGAGGCCGTTGAAAACGAACTCCTCGACGTCGACTGGAGATCAGAGTTATTGGAGTTAAATGCCGAAGCAATGTACAACAAACTGTGCGAAGTATTACTGAAGGTATGCACGCAACACACGCCGGGAAGAACGGCGCCCAAACGGCAGATAATTCCAAGCGACAGACGGATCCTCATGAGAAAACGAGCGCGCTTGAACAACCAGATAACGGCCGCCTCTAGAAATAAGGAGAGACGGAGGCTGGAACATTTAAAGGAGAAAATTGAGGACACTGAATAACAGTTGCAAGACTCGCATGAGGCTGAACAACAAGTTGCGGAGGCGCGAGCGGTGGCTGCCATTAGGAAGAATCCCAAATACTTCTATAAATATGCCCAGTCAAAGGCCAAAATCAGAGCATCAGTGGGGCCATTGAAAAATAATGATGTCCTTATTGGAGACAACCAGGGCATGTGCGAACTGCTAGGAGCGCAGTTTAAAAAAGTATTCAGCATACCCGATACCCAAGACAGGAGAATGAAATGTGAGTCATTCAAGACTTACCAGGAGGTCGGACGCTGATGAACATTGAGTTTGAAGCACCGGATCTAAATAGGAGTATCCAAGAATTATCGATATATTCGGCGCCCGGGCCAGATGGAGTCCCTGCTGTGTTACTGAAAAAATGTGTCGGTGCACTTAAGGTCCCTCTGACTTTACTCTGGAAAACATCATTGAGAGAAGGAAACGTTCCTAGTTACCTAAAATTAGGGCTAGTAACCCCAATCTACAAACGAGATGCGAGAGATAAACCCCAGAACTACAGGCCGGTTACATTAACATCACACGTAATCAAAGTATTTGAGAAGGTTGTTACCAGAAGGTTGGTGCAGCACGTGGAGGAGGCTGACCTTTTAAAAAAAGGCAACATGGTTTTAGACGAAATTGCTCTTGTTTGTCTCAGTTACTGGAGCATCACCACCAAATACTGGCAAGGCTGGAGGAGGGGCCAGGAGTGGACGTGGTGCATTTGGACTTCGCGAAAGCGTTTGACAAAGTTGACAATGGAGTGCTCTTCAGAAAATTAAGACTACTGGTGGTCAGTGGTGAATTGCTGGCATGGATCCACAGCTTCCTAACAGAAAAACTACAAGCTGTAGTTGTTGGAGGCTCGAGATCGAGTGTAGCTAAGGTGAAGAGTGGAGTACCACAGGAACGGTCCTAGGCCCAATTCTCTTCCTCATCCACGTCGCCGACATAGATGTGTCTGAGAACCACGCCACTGCATCGTCATTCGCGGACGACACCAGGATATTAATGACCATCACGGACAGGACGGACAGTGAAAGGTTGCAAAAAGACCTCTCTGCAATATATGACTGGGCCCTAGTGAACAACATGCAGTTCAACGGGACCAAGTTTGAGGTCCTGAGGTACAGAGGAACCGGAGGAGCTGGAATGGAGCACCGCTACCTGGCACCTGACAACTCGGAAATCGAAGAAAAGCGACTCGTTCGCGATTTAGGAGTATTGATGAACAATCAGGTCAATTTTGGTGATCACATAGTGGCAATAACCGCAAGAGGTAGGCGACAGATGGGGTGGATCTGGCGGACGTTCAGAACGAGAGAAACGGAACCGATGATCACACTCTTCAGAGCCCTTGTAATACCTATCCTTGAATACTGCTGCCAGCTCTGGACTCCGTTCACACAAGGCGCAATACGGCAACTGGAAAGAGTCCAACAAACCTTCACTTCCAGGATCAGAGGGATGGAGGAGTTTAACTACTGGGAGAGGTTACAGCGACTGGGTCTGTACTCACTGCAGAGGAGACGGGAGAGGTATGTCATTCTGTACACATGGAAAATGATAACCGGAATGGCATCAAACTTCGAAAGCGAGACTTTCAAGATTGAGACACACCATAACGAAAGAAGAAGGAGACTGTGCAGGATCCCCCACTACGTAACAGATCGGCGGTCAGACTTCAATCCCTGCGGGAAGGATCCCTTTCCGTAGCCCGGGCCGAGGTTGTTTAACGTCCTACCAAGGGATCTAAGAGAAGGGGAGTTCACCCTGGAGACCTTTAAGAGACAACTGGACGTGTTCTTGGGAACAATCCCTGATCGACCTCCTCTGCACCACTACCAGCGGCGAGAAGCAAGCAACAGCATCGTTCATCAGCGGGCCCAAATGAGGGCGGACGAGCGATAATCAGAGGCGGCGATCCATCGTGGCCTGGGACTGCTACGTCCCAAACAAATACTGAGGAAAGGAAACTAAGGAACTAAGGTTAGGAATCAGACGGTGACTTGAAAGCTAATTGCAAAATACTTGAGAGTTACGATGCTTCGTGGGGCAAAATGCTTCGAAATAAACGCAAGTATAGGTGACATATTCGTTCCTCTTCATCTATTTATGCTACAGAACTACATAAGTAACGCTCCTCCACAATTATACACGCTACAGAACTACACTATTAACGCTCCTCCACAATTATGCACGCTGCAGAACTAACGCAGGATGATGGGTGCAGGAGCTATGCGCTCTAAAGGCTCTCGAACAATGAAGCCGCAGGGGTCCGAGGTCCTGCAGAACTCGAGGTCCGTGGCAGCTTGCACGAATTCCAACAAGAGACTCTCTGCCTTCACCACAGTAGATTTCCCTGCAGAATTGAGAGGATTCATATAAATATTCTCATGGAGAATTGAGGATTACATTTGCGGCTGAATTCAATTTCACATTTCTTAATCGTCATGGACAATAATTTAGCTCGATTTTAAGATATTGTTTCCAACAATAATTCAAGTGATGGTGCTAAACAAGCGAAAATTATTCAAATTAAAGTGAAAATTGGCACAATCGAATTCTTTAATTATTTAAACATCTGCGCTCTATGAAAATAATCTGTTATACATATACAATGCAAGCTCGATTGAAGACCCGAGAACGTAACTGATTAGCAAAATTCTTGCTCGTTTTTTAAATGTTTTTGGTCGAATGATGTTAGCAGTTAACGAAAAAGACCGTTCCGATAGTCATTTGAATATGTTACCGACGGTTGGAATGCAACTACATTCATTATCAAGTTTAAATAAATTTTGTACACTAAACATTGCATCTCCTGAGGACTGGAGGAAGGACATTGCATCCATATCGTAACACCTCCCCCGCGTTGCGGGATGTTAAATTATTCATATTCCAATACCTGAGATGTCCGCAGCATTCCGGGAGACCGACGAATCCTTATGAGAAAACGCACACGTTTGATTAAACAAATAGCTGAGTCCATTACTGATCTGGGGAGACAGACTAGTAGATTTGCACAATGAAATTGAACTCAGGTTGCAGAAATCGCATAGGATAGAAGAACAAGCTGCCGAGGAACGAGTAGTCGAGGTAATCAGTGGTCCGACGACGCCAGTGGGTCCGCTGAAGGATAACGATGTCCTTGTAGGAGATGACAAGGGTAGGGTAACATGGGGCAGCGAGCCCACTGCGGGTCACGGGCCCATAGCGGGTTTCTCGCTAAGTATGGCAGATATTGATCCGTGTTCTCTACCGCCGGTCGACAGTTTCACTGGGATGAAGTATACGGATTTACGTTTTGCTAAGTGTTTGCGTTATTAAGTTCTTTGCGAATAACTGTTTTAGTCCAGATAAAAAGTTGTGAGATGTTCAAACATTGCAACACCTCACTCGCGTTGTGAGATGTTCAAACATTACAACACCAGCCGCGCTGTACGCTGCGTGACAACTGCTCATCGAACAGCAAACGCGAACATTCAGCGACGCTTACTGAGGTGGAGAAGTGGGCTTTCGGGACACAAACTTGAAGAAAATTGTGTGCATTACCTTCAGGGTGTTCCCAATTAAAATCTGATGAAGGATCGAAATTTGGGTCCGGAAAGTCGTGAACGAAGTTGGTGGTAATTTTCATGACCTGAAATCCATCGTTAGTGATGTTCAGCTTCCTTGGATCGTCTGTAAAAGAGGACTGCATTAGTGGCAGTTTTTTACAGACTGGAATTTGCGCAGCCTCCAGGGCATCAACACGACATCGTTAAACTTGGTTTCCTCGTTATCAACACAGCCACATCGTTATCAGTCGTGCTTGCAGCCTACATCCCGGTTGACTGTGTGCCTGTATCTCAGTTGACAGTGTGCCTACATCACGGTGGGCAGTGTGCCTACATCACGGTGTACAGTGTACCCGCATCACGGTTGACAGTGTGCTTACATCACGGTTGACAGTGTGCCTACATCACGATTGACAGTGTGCCTACGTCCCTGTTGACAGTGTGCCTACATCCCAGTTGACAGCGTGCCTACATCACGGTTGACAGTGTGCCTACATCTCGATTAACAGCGTGCCTTCAGCCCGGTTGACAGTCTGCCTACATTTCAGTTGCCAGTGTGCCTACATCACGGTTGACAGTGTGCCTACATCCCTGTTGACAGTGTGCCTACATCCCAGTTGACAGTGTGCCTACATCACGGTTGACAGCGTGCCTACATCACGGTTGACAGTGTGCCTACATCCTAGTTGACAGCGTGCCTACATTACGGTTGACAGTGTGCTTACATCCCAGTTGACAGTGCACCTATTTCCCGGTTGACAGTGTGCCTATATCCCGGTTGACAGTGTGCCTACATCCCGGTTGACAGTGTGCCTACATCCCAGTTGACAGTGTGCCTACATCCCGGTTGACAGTGTGCCNTATAACTGGGACCGAGTAAACACATAAATCATTATAAAACTAAAGCATCATGAATGACCTCTAAGAGCGGCCTTCCTGGCGCAGTCCGCGAAGTCCGTGGAGGCGATCTCAACGATGTTGCTTCGATCCGTGACATCAAGCGCATAGGAGAGGTCAGTATCAAGGGAAAGGGATGAGACGAGTTCGTACATCTGAAACGAGTAGTTTGTATGACAACATGCAATCATTCACTAAAAGCCTCCTGCATTTATCGAAAAAGTAGCCTAGGGCCATGAAGTTTAATGCTTTTGCGTGTTTGCTAGTTTTCTAGTGGGACTTTTGGTATACGTACGATTTACGGTGGTACACTCACGAATGACTTACGTATACGTGGCAGTGCGAACACGAATGACTAACGTTATACGGCAGTGCGAATTCGATATACGGCTGTGCGAATACGGTATACGGCAATTTGAACACGAATGACTTACGGTATACAGCAGTGCGAACACGAATGACTTTCGGTATATGGCAGTGCGAACAAAAATGACTTACGGTATACGGCAGTGCGAATACGAATGGTTTACGGTATACGGCAGTGCGAATACGGTGTACGTCAGTGCGAACACGCATGATTTATGGTATACGCAGTGCGAACATGAATGACTTACGGTATACAGCAGTGCGAACGCGAATGACTTTCGGTATACAGCAGTGCGAATACTTTATACGGCAGTTAGAACACGATTGACTTACGGTATACAGCTGTGCGAACAGGAATGACTTATTTTATACGGCAGTGCAAACACCAATGACTTATGGTATACAACAGTGCGAATACTTTATACGGCAGTTCGAACACGAATGACTTGCGGTATACAGCAGTGCGAACGCGAATGACTTTCGGTATACAGCAGTGCGAATACTTTATACGGCAGTGCGAACACTAATGACTTATGGTATACAGCAGTGCGAATACTTCATACGGCAGTTCGAACACGAATGACTTAAGAAATACAGCAGTGCGAACACGAATGGCTTACGGTATACAGTAGTGCGAACATGAATGACTTACGGAATACGGCAGTGCGAACACGAATGACTTACGGTATGCAGCAGTGCGAACACGAATGACTTACGGTATATGGCAGTGCGAACATGAATGACTAACGGTATACGGCAGTGTGAACACGAATGACTTATGGTATACAGCAGTGCGAATACTTTATACGGCATTTCGAACACGAATGACTTACGGTATACAGCAGTGCGAACATGAATGACTTACGGTATATGACAGTGCGAACATGAATGACTTACGGTATACTGTAGTGCGAATACTTTATACGGCAGTTCGAACACGAATGACGTAAGATATACAGCAGTGCGAACACGAATGACTTACGGTATATAGCAGTGCGAAAATGAATGACTAACGGTATACGACAGTGCGAACACGAATGACTTACGGTTTATGGCAGTGTGAACGCGAATGACTTGCGGTATACAGCAGTGCGACCATGAATGACTTACGGTATACGGCAGTGCGAACACGAATGACTTACAGCGTACGGCTGTGCGAACACGAATGACTTACAGTGTACGGCAGTGCGAACACGAATGACTTACAGTGTACGGCAGTGCGAACACGAATGACTTACAGTGTACGACAGTGCGAACACGAATGACTTACGGTATACAGCAGTGCGAATACTCTATACGGCAGTTCGAACACGAATTACTTACGGTGTACAGCAGTGCGAACAGGAATGACTTATTTTACACGGCAGTGTGAACACTAATGACTTATGGTATGCAGCAGTGCGAATACTCTATACGTCAGTTCGAACACGAATGACTTACGGTATACAGCAGTGCGAACAGGAATGACTTATTTTACACGGCAGTGTGAACACTAATGACTTATGGTATACAGCAGTGCGAATACTTTATACGGCAGTTCGAACACGAATGACTTAAGATATACAGCAGTGCGAACACGAATGACTTACGGTATACAGCAGTGCGAACATGAATGACTTACGGTATACGGCAGTGCGAACACGAATGACTTACGGTATACAGCAGTGCGAACACGAATGACTTACGGTCTATGGCAGTGCGAACATTGAATGACTTACGGTATACAGCAGTGCGAACATGAATGACTTACGGTATACGGCAGTGCGAACACGAATGACTTACGGTATACAGCAGTGCGAACACGAATGACTTACGGTCTATGGCAGTGCGAACATTAATGACTTACGGTATACGGCAGTGTGAACACGAATGACTTATGGTATACAGCAGTGCGAATACTTTATGCGGCATTTCGAACACGAATGACTTGCGGTATACAGCAGTGCGAACACGGATGACTTGCGGTATACAGCAGTGCGAACATGAATGACTTACGGTACATGACAGTGCGAACACGAATGAGTCACAGTGTACGGCAGTGCCAGCATGATTGACTCACGGTATGCGTTAGTGCAAATTATCATTATGGAACAACGAACCAACTCGCGGTTCAACAAGTTGCAACAAAACATGTGCGCAGTCACTTCTAGTCGCATTCTGAATATTGTTTCGAATGTATTGAAAATTTATAAAATTTCAGTAGGATGTCAATTGGAGGCAATGAAGTGCAAAAAGCGTGTAATATAATAAAGTTTCAAAGCTTCATGGCTCATCCCGGCAAAATCATCAGCTCACCACGACAACATCATCAGCTCACCACGACAACATCATCAGCTCACCACGACAACATCAGCTCACCACGACAACATCATCAGCTCACCACGACAACATCATCAGCTCACCACGGTAGCCCCAGAAGCGGATGGCAGCGCCAGGGTCCGGAATCCGCCCAATGTCGTCGGTGGCGCGGCGGACGCTGGCGACGTGCAAGCCTCGTAGCCAGACGCCCCGGGCGGCGTGATGGGGATCAGCATCAGGCATTAGTGAGGGTGATTAGAGCGTCGGTAATTCTGACTTAAAGTTATATTATGCTGTATAGAACGTGGTTTTGATGGTGAATTAATTAATAACTTGAGTTAAGAAAGTTATTGGAAGTTAGAGACTAAGAGTGAAGTGTTGAGAAGGATACAGGGATTTGGGGTGAAGCTGCGTAAAAGCTTGCATAAGGTGCTATTGTTTTCGAGACCGCGAGACCGAGGGTTTGTTTATAGTTTGAAATGGCGAGGGTATCAAACAAATCTTGTGGAACTCACAACCGTCGCGGCGTCACTTCGAGGGTATAGGCTTAACTGTGCGCGACGGCTCCCTATATAAGGACCTCAAAATTGGCGCCAAGCGTTGTTGGTTCTACGGAGGTGACCGTCACGCAAGCACGGTCTGCAGTCAGCGGACTGTATTTAACGGCCGCGGCCGTGAGGCCGGCGGTGTTACCGTTTTCGAACATTGACAGTCGCGAGAAACCTGAACTTATCGAAGCAGCCAAGAGTCCGGTGAGCACGTCAAGAAAATCAACATCAACACTACGGCTGCGACTCGGCCGTGAGACAATGCGAGAGGGCCACGAGTTGTACAACGATTATAACGCACGTCATCAGAAGATTTAAGTTCGAGTTCTAAACCGGAAGTTATCATCGGTACGTTCATCAGTACGATACGGTCACAATTTCCATCAAAAAGAAGCGGTACGGTCACAGTCATCTTCAACTTCAACCGCAGTACGGCAACGAGCTTGGAATAATATCATCGACGAGTAAGACTACGCCACTATTCCGAAGTACGGTCGTTGTAAAACAACCTACGGCCAGACTGACCGTGAGACACTACATTTATGAAGAACAGCGATCGCGAGGACGCGCGGCTACAGCGGCAGTACGACCACTTGGAATACGGCTGCAAACGCGCGGCTACAGCTGCGGTACAGTCGCTGAACCTACGGCCGCAAACGGGTGCGCGAGTTACGGTCGTTTACAACAGTCGTACGGCTCAACGGAACTGCAATGTATCAACATTTTCCGGTAAAATTAGATGATTAGATGATGTAAACTGATTTTGGACTGACTTTGGTTTTGGACTTTTGATTGTGTTCAGATTACCTTTGTCGAGTACTAGAGATTTTTGTTAACGTAGGATGTGAACTTAAATTTTCCAATTTAATGTGAAATGTATCAGTGTTTCATTACAATCCTCTCTTTGTACTATTTTGCCGTAACCTATCCATACGAGAACTTAGTCACGTGCTTATCAAGCGCCACTCGGCGAAAACCTGACAAAACGATAAGTAATGAATTCC